TGGGCCCTGAATACGGTCCCTTACCTCCCTTAGAGGGTTCTGAAGTATGGGCCCTGAATCTGTAGGGTTTAGGGTTCAGGGTCCAGGGTTTAGAGTTTAGGGTTTAGGGTGTAGGGTATGTTAGGGGTATATAAGGGGTGCCCTTTTAAGGGCCCATGACTAAGGGACCGTGCAACTACCCTAAGACAAGCCCCCAGAAGGTCAAGCAGTGGCGTGGCAGCGACACTGGGCATCGGTTTGTGGAGGAGGTTTAGGGTTTAGGGCGTTTAGGGCGTTTAGGGCGTTTAGGGTTTAGGGTTTTGGGTTTTGGGTTCAGAGTTTCGTAAAGTTTAGTCATAGGTTGGAACCCTGGTTCCTAGTATGGTCCCTTGCAATTGTGTTAAGGGATTTAAAGGGATCCGCAGTATAGGCCCTTATTTCGTGTTTTTTCACCACCTTCGGTGTGGGGAAGATGTTAAACTCAGCTCTTCTCCTCGCCCGGAACTCTTCCCCTCGCCCGGTCTACTCCTAGAGACTCCCTGGAGTGCCCAACCCCAGAGACTCCTTGGAGTGCCCAAGCCCAGGGATGCCCCCAGAGAGGAATTGGAGTGCCCAACCCCAGAGACTCCCTGAAATGCCCAACCCCAGAGACTGGACGAAGCAAACTAATTTTCAGGGCTATGAATAAAAGGGGACCCCTCAATTAAGGGCCCATACTTCGGATCCCCTGTTGAGGGTTCAGGGTTCAGGGCTTAGGGTTTGCCCACTGTATTCTGCAACCAAACACTGAACTCTAAGCCAGCTCAGCCCCAAGCCGGAAACCTGGCGGTGTCTCTAGATTTCGGTCCTCCTTAGGGTTCGTGTTATACATTCCGGAGCCTCATATTCTTGGGCCCCCAAAACCCTGAACGCTGAACCCTAAACCCTAAACCCTAAACCCCTAAACCCTAAACCCTAAACCCTAAACCCTAAACCCTAAACCCTAAACCCTAAACCCCACACCCTAGGCCGGTCCGTCAAAAGGTTTTGGGTATAGGCTCAAAGCCGTACACCCGAAGCAATAGGGGTTTAGGGTTTAGGTTTAGGGTTTAGGGTTTAGGGTTTAGGGTTTAGGGTTTAGGGTTTAGGGTTTAGGGTTTAGGGTTTAGGGTTTAGGTTCAGGGTTTAGGGCGTAGGGGGCCCACCCCTACGCGAGGCCCCAGTGCTGTGAGGGCCAACAATTGGTGGCTTTAGGTTTAGGGTTTAGGGTTTAGGGTTTAGGGTTTGGGGTTTAGGGTTTAGGGTTTAGGGGTTAGGGTTTAGGGATGTGGGTAGGGGCTAGAGGGCCTTGGGGTTCAGGACTAAAGGTTCAGGTCTTGGGGAATTTGGGGCTTGCGGGCCGGGGTGTGTCAGAGCTTCCTCAGCGTATGCGGCTTTTGGACCCTAAACCCTAAACCCTAAACCCGAAACCCTAAACCCTAAACCCCAAACTGAGGATGATGTCCAGCCTGCGTGCGTCGACAAGACAGCTCCATGGAACAATTTTAGGGTTCTTCAGGGAGGGTTTAGGGTTTAGGGTTTAGGGTTTAGGGCTTAGGGTTCAAGGGGGATGAAACCCAAGGTTCCCTAATACTCCCTGCTACTCCCTACGGCTTCCTAAGCTTCCCCTAAAATTCCCAGGGTTTAGGGTTGAGGGTTTACGGTTTAGGGTTTAGGGTTTATAGGTTTGAACCCCCCGCCCTTAAGAACCCTGTGGAACTGGCTGTGGTTGAAGGGATCAGGCTTTGGGCCTGACTCGTAGGATTCCAGGTATGCGGCGCTTAGGGCTTCTGAGTCCAGGGTCTACGTAATGACCCTAAGCCCTAAACCCTAAACCCTTAACCCTAAGCCCCTAAACCCTAAACCCCTAAGCCCGAAACCCCAAACCCTAAACCCTAAACCCTAAACCCGGTCTCTTTTTGCTGGGCGCAGCGTGTTGGATCCTGATCTTTGAACCGAGGACCCCCGCCACCCAGCCAACGATCGCCTCTACAAGGAAGCGGTCAGATAGATGCCACAACCACCTTAAACCCTCAACCCCAAACCCCTAGACCGGTTGGTGGGTTTAGGGTTTAGGGTTTAGGGTTTAGGGTTTAGGGTTTAGGGTTTAGGGTTTATAGGTTTAGGGTTTAGGGTTTAGGGTTTATAGGCTTAGGGTGTAGGGTTTTCGGTTTAGGTCTATTGTGTCGGGCATATGCACGCTGACCCATTGTGTCGCTCTGACACTTCGAGTTAGTTCTTATTTTTCTCTTTGTGGTGGTGGGGGGGAGAGGCGCCACTGAAGCCACACAAAGTCGTACTTTTTTGTTTGCTCAGTGTGCTCCATTTTCCGGGAGCGCAGACAATTCGGGCGGGAACTTCCACACACAAGGCTGGGTCGAGGTTCTTTCCGCCTGGCAGAGGTGTGCAGTACCCTAAACCCTAAACCCTAAACCCTAAACCCTAAAAGCCCTAAAACATGGAGGGGTTCATGGGGGGGCAGGTACCTGGGGAACCTTAGGGAAGCTTCGGGAGCTTTAGGCAGGAGTTGGGAGTATAAGGGAACCTTGGGTTACATACCCCCCTCCCCCCCTCCCTTAAGAACCCTAAAAACATCCCTACACCCTAAACCCCAAACCCTAAACCCTAAACCCAGACCACCCTAACATTTTTTGTCAGAAGGCTTCCAGGAGTCGTCGCTGTGGATTCGGATCTTTCCTTTGCCGCACAAGCGCTTTGATTGTCCACCACCCGATGCTGAGCTGACCTACACCAGGGTTTAGGGTGCAGGGTTTAGGGTTTAGGGTTTAGGGTTTAGGGTTTAGGGTTTAGGGTTCAGGGTTTAGGGTTTAGGGTTCAGGGTTTAGGGTTTAGGGTTTAGGGGCCTCAGATATGTTCGTGCTACTCAAGCAATAGGACCGCAATCAAGGGTTCGAGGATCGTGGGTGATCAGTCGCAAGGTTTCAGGCGATTTGGGGGGCCACTGCGCAAATCCTACAACCTGTGCCCTAAACCTGAAACCCTCAACCCTAAACCCTAAACCCTGACCCCACCCTAAGCCCGAAACCCTAAACCCTCAACCCTAAACCCTAAACCCTAAACCCTAAACCCGAAACCCTAAACCCTAAACCCTAAATACGAGCTGATGCCTCTGCCAGGACGTGCCCCCGGAAGAGCTTCCGGGGGGCGAGTCCCTGACGATGACTGCGGCCACTTGGATGTTTGGTTTCAGGGCTCGGTTTAGGGTTTAGGGTTTAGGGTTTAGGGTTTAGAGTTTCGGGTTTGGGGATTTTGGATGTTTTTAAGTGTCAGGGATCAGACAAGGAGCTTCTTTGTGAAATAACATAATGATCATGTTTTACTGTATTTGTTTTGAATGCTGTGGTCTTTGTTTTAGACATTTTATGTGTTAGAATTGGGTGATGGTGCGAGGGGGGTGGGGGGCAGGAATCATAATTGCATCTGTTGGGGGATCAGGCCCCTTCCCCCCATTTAATGATCAAAATAAACCAACAAAACTTTTCTCTTTTTTTCAAATTTGTTTTCAAAGTATCATGTGATATATATATATATATATTACATATATATATATATAATTGGGGGTGCCCTGGCAGGGTTTGGGCATTAACGCAAGTGGACAGCAGCTAAGGCCAGGGTCATCCCCTACTGGACAAAGTCGATTCGGCCTTTGCTTACAGGCAGGAATTCTTGGTGGCCCCCGGTGGTACCTTGTTTTGGTTCAAGGTTCCTGTTTCAAAGTAGCCTTACCCTTATTCCAATATGGTTGCTGGGCTACTAAGAACTGGAGAGGCTGGGTTTAGGGTTAGAGTTTAGGGTTTAGGGTTTAGGATTTAGGGTTTAGGGTTTAGGGTTTAGGGTTTAGGGTTTAGGGTTTAGGGTTCGGTTTTTCTTCGAGTTTTTTCTGGGCCGACTAGGGCTTTGGGTTTAGGAGTTTAGGGGTGTAGGGGGTTAGGGGTTTAGGGGTTTAGGGGTTTAGGGGTTTAGGGGTTTAGGGGTTTAGGGGTTTAGGGGTTTAGGGGTTTAGGGGTTAAGGGGTTTAGGGGTTTAGGGGTTTAGGGGTTTAGGGGTTTAGGGGTGTAGGTGTTGAGGGGTTTAGGGGTTTAGGGCAAAGTTTAGGTGTATAGGGGTTTAGGCTTAGGGGTTTAGGGTTTTGGGTCTTGGGTTTAGTTTTTGGGTTTATGGTTACGGCCCCCTCTCTTCTACCCCCTAGGTTTCCACCCTTAACCCTAAATAACCAAATTTTGGGGAGAACCGGGGGGGGGGGGGGTGGCTCATATACCCTAAACCCTAAACCGAATTATTGTGGTATAACCCGAACTTTAGGGTTCCATTCGTCCCCAAGGTATCGGCAAAGGGGGTCGGTCCTTCACTTAGCGCATCGCAATCACCACAGCTCCAAAACTGCGCGCGGAGCCCGCTACGGCCAACCTTGTCCAGCAACTAAACCCTTCAAACGGGTTTAGGGTTTGGGGTTTAGGGTTTAGGGTTTAGGGACTTCAAACTCTTTCAAGCCCTGATAGCCCAGTGGTACCCTTTACCCTTTGTTTTTGTTTTATGGTTTCCCTCATAACATAACCAACCCGAAAAGGGTGCCCTTATCATAATATGGTTAATGGGCTACCATGAAGCCCATACACTGTGTAAACCCAACTCACGGCAGGGCCGGTTTTAGTTGTTGCGAGGGAGGGGGCTTCTGTTTGCGTCGCCCGGTTCTTCGTTTCTTGCTGTGTGGGTTTAACAGTGGGTTTACGTGCGTGCGCTCTGAGGAGTACCTCAACCCCACAAGAATGGCCTATGTACACGTCACTCTGGGGCAACAAGGCGATTGTGGGTACTTTTTGAGGGTCCTGGTAGTTCGGCATGCGTTCAGTGGAGCGGGGCGAACCTTTCCGAGCCCGTTTGGCCCAAGCTTTGGCCATCTGTGTCGCCCTGAGCAGAGGTACAGAGCCTCTTGTTCGCTCACCATGGGGTGTGGGGCAAGTACGGGTCAAGCGCAGCCGAGAATGCCGCTGAAGCCGTCGAAGGTGATGCCGTCCTTTGACGAGCTCCTGGTGCAGAGGCAGCGTGAGGTGATCTCTGATGGAGTGGACCCACGCTTTCGGGTCAAGGGTGCCACACTGCGAGCGTGCAGGCGTTCGGAGCTGCTTTGCTCCGAACTCACGGCGAGTTCACTGGAGGTGGAGGATGATGACGACTCGAAGCCAGTGTGGTCCTCTATGGACTCCTCCACATGGGTGACACAGTTCGCAGAGGGCGTGCCCTTGCCGCCGAATCGCCGGACGCTTGAACGCCATCTCACTGTGCTGGATCAGTTCCGGCAGGAAGTGGAAGGTGCATCTGTTGAGTTCGCCGAGATTGTGGAGTCACGCCGCTAGCAAAGGATCAATGGGCTTCCTTGCCCCCAGTGTTGTCACTTCCCTTTACCTCAGAGGTCTTGTCCCTGAGAGCAGAGAGTTTAGAGACCTCACAGTGAGGTCCCCTGTACCTGCATCCTTGGGGGCCAAATGAACCCGAAAAGTGTGTATGGTTCATGGACTATAGGGGTCGCAACAGTCACTAATCCCTATTCCCTTACGGTCCCTTTGTAGTTATACTATAGTAACCCCCCAAAAAACCCTATTCTAATGGTTAAGGCCCCTATTAGTCGGAACTATGATAGTATAGGGTCTATGATGGTCCCCAAGGATCGGGAGATGTAGCCAGCATGTCCCTCAACAGGAACTAGGACTCGTCCTAAACCCTAAGCCCTAGACCCTAAACCCTGTCCGGAACTAGGACCCAGAGTTCTTCTTGTTAAGACTACAGTTGGCTTGGTGAGCCGCTTTCAACAAAATGGGCCTCTAGGGTTTCGGGGTTTAGGGTTGAGGGGTTTAGGGGTTTAGGGGTTTAGGGGTTTAGGGGTTTAGGGGTTTAGGGGTTTAGGGTTTAGGGTTCAGGGTTCAGGGTTCAGGGTTCAGGGTTCAGGGTTCAGGGTTTAGGGTTTAGGGTTTAGGCTTAGGGTTTCGGGCTCAAGGTTGGAAGGTTTAGGGTTGCCCTGAAAACCACGGTATGTCAATATGGGGTGCTTGAGACGATCAGCCCTCAAGAGACTGGCTTCAGACTCTCGATGCTTATAATTCGTGCATATGTCGACGGCCGAAACCCTGCAGGCTTCGGATTTCGAGTGTAAGCTTAGGGTTCAGGGCTTAGGGTTTAGGGCTTAGGGTTTGGGGTTTAGGGCTTAGGGTTTACACGGTCTGGATGCTGCGGGGCAGGAGCTCACTGGGAGGTCTTGAGTGAAGAGTGGTTTGGGTTGAAGTGCTACATCTCGGAGAAACCCTACACCCCAAAAACCCACAAAGTACCCAGAAATGACCTCGAAAGCCCCAGAAAAGCCCTCTAACCTCCAAAAACCCTCAGAAGCTCTTTAAAGAACGTATAGAAGCCCTATAAGTCCTCTAAGCTTGATGGCTTTCTTCTCCCGGCGGCGGCCGATGTCTCGAATGTCGGGACATGGGAGTCATCAAAGGCATCCACGAGCCTGTTTTTTAAGGCCCAGGGTGTACGGCCACAGGCTGCGTTCTGCAGCAGCTGCAGTTGTGCAGCGAATGTCCCTAAGGGTCCATGTACCGAAATAGGGAATACCCGAGCCTTGAAGTACCTCCCCTATTTGCAAACTTTAGAGCCCATGGCCAAGTGCATAATAATAAGGTACATGGACCCTTAGATTGTTGCTTAGCTCTGCCAGAGTGAGTACGGCGCTTCAGCCTGCTGGAACCAATTGGTCCAAGATCCTCAGACGTTTCGACGTTAAACCCTAAACCCTAAACCCTAAACCCTTAACCCTAAACCCTAAACCCTAAACCCTAAACCCTAAACCCTAAACCCTAAACCCTAAACCCTAAACCCTAAACCGTACTCACCGGCTTCGCTTGGAAGCTATGTTCCCACAGGACCTGACTGATGCCTCGGGGTAGCCAGGCGGAAAGTGCTCGGTGGAAAGGCTGGATCCATGCTAGGGTTTAGGGTTTAGGGTTTAGGGTTTAGGGTTTAGGGTTTAGGGTTTAGGGTTTAGGTTTTAGGGTTTAGGGTTTAGGGTTTAGGGTTTAGGGTTTAGGGTTTAGGTCAGTATGAGCAGCAAGATGGCATAACACGGGTGCCTCGAGGAGTACTCTTTTTGGTCTCTTGCATCCGTCAAGCAAAACCTTCGCATACAGAAGGCACCCCAAGTATCCCATTCTTATGGGTCCCTGCAAACATTCGGTGCCGAAACCCTCAAGCTTTAGCCCGAAACCCTAAACCCTCATTAAACGCTAAAACCCTAGACCCTAAACCCTAAACCCTAAACCCTAAACCCTAAACCCTAAACCCTAAACCCTAAACCCTGGACCCATGCCCGTTGCGGACATGGCACTTTCTGGCCCAGCGCCCTGAACCACAGCGGTCCCTGAATCGGCCGTCAGCGCCATGAACTTTTCCCGCTTCTCAGCCCTTAGCTGGGACGAATTTCCCACAGGGTCCATGTACCTTTATGGTACGTACTTGGGTTTAGGGTTTAGGGTTTAAGGTTTAGGGTTTAGGGCTAGATTACCTTTATAGTATGTGCTTGGGCTTTGAGAGGAGCATTAGGGCCCAACTACGTGCTATATAGGCACATGGACCCCCAGGGTTCGCGTTTTCAAGAAGTAGGGGTACTGGGGGCGGGGGGGGGGGGGGGGTGCTACAACAAGGATCATAGTAACTTGCTTTGGGGGGGCGGGGGTGAACCCTAAACCCTAAACCCTAAACCCTAAACCCTAAACCCTAAACCCTAAACCCCGAATTTCTTGAAGCTCCCAACGATGTTGGTTGGGACTGTACATCACAGATCAGAGCACGCTTGGCATGCTGAAGCTTGCGACGAAACAAACCCTGAGACTCACTTTTTGGTACCCCCAAGAGGTACCTGATTGTTTAGGTTTAGGGTTTTGTTTCCTGAGACTCACGTTTTGGTACCCCCAAGAGGTACCTGATTGTTTAGGGTTTAGGGTTTAGGGTTTAGGGGGTAGGGTTTAGGGTTTAGGGTTTAGGGTCAGGAACGTAAGGTGGAGGGTCTAGGGGTTTAGGGTTTAGGGGGTAGGGTTTAGGGTTTAGGGTTAGGAACGTAAGGTGGAGGGTCGAGAGTTGCAGGGTTCTGGGGTTTACAGGGTTTACCTTGGAGACCACATGAACCCAACAATTGGGGTCACAGACTAGACTACTATAATCCCGATTAAGGCACATGAACCCTAAACCCTAAACCCTAAATCCTAAACCCTAAACCCTAAACCCTAAACCCTAAACCCTTTTCAGGGTTCATTTGTCTAAGGGTAAGTCTGGTCCCTGAACGTGGCCCCTTACCTTCTTTCAAAGGGTCCCGATGTATGGGGCCTTGGGCTTGATATGGCATATAAGGGGTAGGGTTTAGGGTTTAGGGTTTAGGGTTTAGGGTTTAGGGTTTAGGGTTTAGGGTTTAGGGATCATGTAACTAACCCAAAACCCCCAACCCAAAGGAGGCGCCTGTCAGAAACCCATTGGAACTTGACGCCAAACCCCGCTTTAAACCCTATAGACTGCTACTGAACCCTCTACAGCCTTACTAAATGCTAACTACCGCCCCTACCCCCCCCCCCCTCAACAAAAAAGAAAAAATGCCAACAACAAATTCAAAGTCCCTCAACATATCTTTTAAACCATCCAAACCCTACACCCCCCCCCCCCCCGAAAAAAAAAGAGATAAAACAAAAGATAAAACGCTCAAATCCTTAAAACCGTTGAAGAAATCAAGAACACTGAAGCCCCCTTACACCTTGAAAGCACCAAAAAGCCCTAAGCCCGAACAAGCGAGCCGGCAGGCCAGAAAAGCATTCTGGTGGTAGCACACCGGGACTCCCTTCGAGTGCTCTTCGGATACCTCGAGGCAAAGTAGGGGTTTAGGGTGTAGGGTCTAGGGTTTAGGGTTTAGGGTTTAGGGTTTCGGGGGTTGAGCTTTTGGGAGGGTCCCCGTGTTCCGATTGGGGTTTAGGGCTTATAATGTAGAGTTGCCTCACGGCTTCCGTGCCTTCGTTGAAATCATCGGGTTCTTAAGGGAGGGGGGGTTGAAGGGGGTTTAGGGGTTTGTAAGGCTTAAGGGTTTCGGGCTTAGGGTCCCTAAGCGAGGCGGGTTCAAGGGGTGACCCAAGCCCACTACTCCCCAAGGCTTCCTAAGCTTCCCTGAGGTTCCCTGGGTACCTCCCACCCCCTTAAGAACCCTAAGCACTAAACCCTAAGCCCGAAACCCCAAACCCAAAACACCCTAAACCCCCCTCCCTTAAGAACCCTATAATGTCCCTCAAGAACCCTCCCAAAATAGCCGATCAGAGAGAACCCCCACCCCCTTAAGAACCCTAAACCCTGAAACCCTAAACCCTAAATCCTAAACCTAAACCCTAAACCCTAAACCCTAAAACCCTAAACCCTAAAACTGAACCCAAAATAGCCGATCAGAGAGTGCTTGGGCAGCTCTTTGGTTGAGGCGGGCATGGCCTTGAAGAGGTGAGGTTTAGGGTCCAGGGTTCAGGGTTCAGGGTTCAGGGTTTAGGGTTTAGGGTTTAGGGTTTAGGGTTTAGGGTTTAGGGTTCAGGGTGTTCTTTTTGTGGTTTCAGGGTTGTAATTAGGCTTGTAGGCCTGAGTAAGTTCTAGGGTTCCAAGTGCTAAAGGGCTGCCAAGCCTTTCAAACCCTTCCATGAACCCAAACCCTAAAGCCCGAGTCCCTGAGCCCGAAACCCTAACCATTCCAGCAAAAAAGCCAGAAACCCCGCACTGCATAAAACCGTGGCGTAGACCCAAAACGCCCTAATCCCCGTTTTGTTTAAAGGGGTTTTCTAAAGGGTGCGCTCCAAAGCAACACCCTAAACCCTAAACCCCTAAACCCCTAAACCCCTAAACCCTAAATCCCTAAACCCTTAAACCCCTAAACCCCTAAACCCCTAAACCCGAAACCCTAAACCCCCTAAACCCAGAAGCCCCTAAGCCCCTAAGCCCCTAAACCCCTAACCCCGAAACCCCTAAACCCTAAACCCTAAATCCCTAAACCCCTAAACCCCTAAACCCTGAACCCTAAACCCTAAACCCTAAACCCTGAATCCCTAAACCCCTAGACCCCTAAACCCCTAAACTCTAAACCCTAAATCCCCCAAACCCTACACCCCTAAACCCTAAACCCTAAACCCCTAAACCCCTAGACCCCTAAACCCCTAAACCCTAAACCCGAACCCCCTACCCCCCCAAACCCCCAACCCCCTCGACTCGCCACTGCGTCTGCAGGAAGAGGAAGCGAGTTCAGTGTTCGATGGCACCTCTCAGACGGCCCCCCTGTGCTTTGAGTTCAGCCGCATCCTAAGTGTGTCTGTGTGGGGTTCAGGGTTCAGGGTTCAGGGTTCAGGGTTCAGGGTTTAGGGTTTAGGGTTTAGGGTTTAGGGTTTAGGTTTTAGGGTTTAGGGTTTAGGGTTTAGGGGTCTTTGGGGGGGGGTCCAGGATGCATGGGTTTACGGTTTAGGGTTTAGGGGCTCTCTAAGGGTAGGTACTGGGCCCTGAGCATGGTGCCTTACCTCCCTTAAAGGTCCGTGCGTCTCATTGTGTGCTGTCAGGCCAACGTGCAAAACTTTGCTTTCCCAAGTTGCCCTAAACCCTAAACCCTAAACCCTAAACCCTAAACCCTAAACCCTAAACCCTAAACCCTAAACCCTAAACCCTAAACCCTAAACCCTAACCCCTAAACCTAAACCCAAAACCCTCACCCCAAAGCCCTGAACTGGAGGCGAAGACGGCACCTTTGTGAAGCAGCCTCTTGCCTCGCCTTAGGAGGATTCAACGCCGGCATATGGGTCCCAAACTTTTTGCTCTAAGGGTTTAGGGTTTAGGGTTTAGGGTTTAGGGTTTAGGGTTTAAGGTTTAGGGGGTTTAGGGTTTAAGTTTAAGGTCTAAATTAGGGTTTAGACACCTAAACGGTCCCTGATTTCGAAGCCCCTATAACTCGGAACCGCAAGCCCCCCTCCCCCCTCCCGTCCCAAGACCCAACCTCAGAAACTGAAGGGGGTATTTCCTTTCGTCAGGATTTGTTGGGGTTTAGGGTTTAGGGTGCTTATTTGTTTTTGGAGGGGGTTATGGGGTCCATGTACCTAAATAGAGAATACTTGGGCCTTAGCGTTCCTCCTATTTGGGGACTTTGGAGCCCAAGTACGTAATGATAACGTACATGGACCCTGAGGGTAAGGTGTTAGGTAATTTGTACAAGATACATAAGGGGTATATACGGGGTACCCGTTTGAGGGCCCATACTAAGAGACCATGCGACTAGACGTAGATTCGGGTTCGGGCTCGGAGTGAAGTTGCGCTTGTTCTTCAGGGTTTCGAGCTTTCGGGTTTAGGGTTTAGGGTTTAGGGTTTAAGGGTTTAGGGTTTAGGGTTTAGGGTTTAGAGGCCCCGAGTCCATTGCAAGAGGGCTCAGGGGCTTTAGGGTGTTGCGTTTAGGGTGTAGGGTTTGGGGTTTAGGGTTCAGGGGCTTTAGGGTTCAGCGTTTAGGGTTGAGGGTTTGGGGTTTAGGGTTTAGGGTTCAGGGTCTGGCGTTTCTATGCCTTATCATGCCTTGTGTTTAGGGACGCGTTGTAAAGATTCTCCAAGGGAATGTAAGGTTTCTATTTAGAGTGTATTGCGGAAACCTCTTGGTGGGTACCTCCCCCCCCCCCCCCCCCCGCTTTCCCCGCCCCCCCCCCGCCCCCCCACCCCCACCCCTCTCCCGCGACCGCCCTCAACCCAAAACCCTAAAGTTGCCATCCCCTTCTGATAACATATTGGAAACCAACCTGGAGGGAGGCGGCCACAAACCCCTAGCCGTCCCCGAAACGGGTTTAAGCAAAAAGCCCCCATATCACAGGGTTAAGGGTTTATAAGGGTTTAGGGTTCAGGGTTAAGGGTTTAGGGTTTAGGGTTTAGGGTTTAGGGTTTAGGGTTTAGGGTTTAGAGGTTCAGAGTTTGGCCTTAAACCCTGAACCCTAACCGTACCGGGTTGAGAGTTTAGGGACTATGCTAAGGTCACTGTCTGAGCCAGACCCCAGACCTGGAACCCCAGCACCCGCCTCAGAAGGGTACAGCCTGAGCCCTAAACCCAATAAACACACCCTAACCCTATCAACCACATATAAACCCTCCTGAGCCCTGGCCCTAAACCCTGAACCCTGAACCCTAAACCCTACAGTAAACCCTAAAACCTAAACCCTAAACCCTAAACCCTCAACCCTAAACCCTAAACTCTAAACCCTTTCCGAAGGTACAGCCTGAGCACTCTCAGCCCCGAGTTGGGCTTGAGCCCCTCGCGCCTGGGCCTGACGCGCTTCCACAACCAGCCCGGGCTTCGGTACGCCAAGATTGGGGAGGCCGGCTAATGGAGGGTTTAGGGTTTAGGGTTTAGGGTTTAGGGGTTAGGGGTTAGGGGTTAGGGGTTAGGGGTTAGGGTTTAGGGTTTAGGGTTTGGGGTTTGGGGTTTGGGGGTTAGGGATTAGGGGTTAAGGTTTAGGGTTTAGGGTTTGGGGTTTGGGGTTTGGGGTTTGGGGTTTGGGGTTTGGGGTTTGGGGTTTGGGGTTTGGGGTTTGGGGTTTGGGGTTTGGGGTTGGGAGCGACCAGCGCTTAGAGCTTGGGGTGTGTGGGGTTCAGGGTGTTTATGAGGTTTCATCTGGGCAAAGAGTTTGCAGGGTTTGTCATCGTTTCCCCCTAATATTAAACGGGGGGGTCCCCCCCCCCCCCAATAGAAATTCGAAATGTGTTTTTATTATTAGGGGGGGGGGGGGGGTTTTATCGAAATGCCATGTTCTAGACTCCAGATTTACTCAAGTGCTGCCAAAAGACGGGCCTCTAAATTAAACCTAAACCCTTAACCCTAAGCCCTAAACCCTTAATTAACCCTAGACCCCCCAACCCTAAACCCTCTCAGGGTTTTATTGGTGTTGAAGGATTTCTTGGAGGCCTGAACCCCCCCCCCTAATTCGGAATAGGGTTTAAAAGGCGGGCTCGGTTTCGGGAGGTTTTTCCGGAAAGTGTTTTTAGTATTAGGGGGGTCTTTAATAAAAGGGGGAAACGATTAGGGTGTTGGGGTCTACAGGGTTTAGGGCTCGGGGTAGGGAGGAAGGGGGGGTGGCGGTCTACAGGGCTTCTGAGGCTTTGAGGGGTTGTGTAGTTTGCAGAGGGTTTAGGAGGTGTCTATGGTCGAGGGTTAGTAGGGATCATGGGGTTTAGGTATACCACAAAGACATAAACGGCCACAGAGTTGAGTTGCATCTTTCAGGCCTTTTCCCTAGAACTTAGGCTCCTAAAGAGATCCCTAAATCCTCTAAATTCCCAGACCCTCAATCCTAAATCCCCTTATCCCCGAAATTCCCAGACCCTAGACCCTAAAACCCCCAAAAAACCCTCCGAAATTCCCAGACCCGAGACCCTAAAACCCCCAAAAATCCCCATTGCCGGCGCTCCCCGGCGCGCAGGTTGTCTTCCTGAGACACGGTGAGAGTGAGTGCAACCTGAAGGCGCGAACGGGTTTAGGGTTTAGGGTTTAGGGTTTAGGGTTTAGGGTTTAGGGTTTAGGGTTTAGGGTTTAGGGTTTAGGGTTCAAGATTTGGCGTTCAGCGTTGGGATGTTCCCCCTTTTTTTCACAGTCCTCCATAGGAATTACAGTAGGGGGGGTACTAGAATCCCTATGAAGGATTGTTGGTATAAGGGGGAATATCGCAAGGTAGAGTGTTTGCCCACAAGGTTAGGGGTTTAGGCTATTCAGGTCACCTGCACTGTCTAAGTACCCAAAACAAGTTACTCGCAGCCCAAAAGCTACTAATTGCACATTGCCCCCTCCCCAAAACAGAGCAGGTATTCTTTCTTCCTTAACTATGCGGGGAATATAGCGAGAATTATCTGATTTATATTAATTTGTTGTTGTGCCTTTCTTCAGCAAACAGTAGGACAAGCCCAAACCCTAAACCCTAAACCCTAAACCCTAAACCCTAAACCCCCCAAAAACTACATGCAGATAGAAGATCCGGCAGCAGCCTCAGGAGCAGTTCACTGGCTGGGAAGACTCGGGCATGACGCCGATGCTTGGAGCAGAGATACCAGGAAAGGTTAGGGTTTAGGGTTTAGGGTTTAGGGTTTAGGGTTTAGGGCTTAGGGCTTAGGGCTTAGGGCTTAGGGTTTAGGGCTTAGGGTTTAGGGTTTACTCGGACTCAGAGTAGGCCCTTATTCCTTTTGAGAGTTCTAGGTCGAAGTTCCCTGAAAAGCCCGCTTTACATCAACAAAGGGCACCCTGTTTATACCCAGGTTACTCTTGGGTCTAGTTTTCTTACTAAGGGCATCTCCATGGGCCCTTGTTACAAGGATGCCCAGTACTACCCTTGTTTCCCTCTTTTGGGTGTAGGTTCCCTTATAAACCCCTTTAAGAAAAACAGGGCACCCTTTTTAATCCTAGGATACTGGGCAACCTAGGATAGGGCCCCTTACCTTTTTTCAAGGGTTCTAGTATGGGCGCTTGGGTTGAATCATTTCTAGGAGAAATGAGGGATAGATAAGGGGCCCCCGTTTAAGGGCCCATACCAAGGGACCATACCCTAAAATTAGGGTCGCCCTAAACCCTAAACCCCAAACCCTAAACCCCAAACCCTCAACCCAAAACCCGGATCTTCGGAGACTTATTTTGCAAAGCGGGACGCACAGGATGCCCCTCGCACAACGACCCCAAACCCGAAACCCTACTACGCCCTAAACCCGACCTTGTGTATGTCTGCTCAGTGGTGGGTTAAGGGCTGAATTCAGGGTGCAGGTTGAGGGGTTTAGGGTTTAGGGTTCATGGTTTAGGGGTTTAGGCTTTAGGGTTCAGGATCTCACGCACCTTTTTAGAGTTGGGTTTAGGTTGTAGGGTTTTATGTTTTGGGTGTTTAGGGTTTTGGGGCGTTTAGATTTGAAAAGGTTTTGCTTTGCTTTCTTCAAGGGTGGCCTGACCTGCTGTTCTCTTTCCGTGCAGCTCTCTAGATGGGTATGGGGTTCAGGGTTTAGGGTTTAGGAATTAGGGTTGAGGATTTAGGATTTAGGGTTTAGGCCGGGTTTAGGGTTAGGGTTCCGGGGAATAGGCGTTCCTCGAATATCCCCCCCAAAACAGGACAATCCTGACTATGGCTAGGGGACCTCTGCGCCCTAAACCTTCCTAAACCTTTGGGACCCCCCCGCCCCCGGCCCCCCCCGGCCCTTCATGCTTCCGTATACTCCGTAGAACTCCGCAGAGGGGTTTTAGTGTCTGGGGTGTAGGCTTCAGGGCGTAGGGTCTAGAACCTGAAGCCCTAAATTCGAGGAAAGGCGTGGAGCAGGCGAAGAAGGCTGGCCGGTACCTGCGCTTTGGCTAGCGCTGATGAGGGGCGGTTTTGGCAGACTGGTGGTCTTCATGACGGTTTCTGCTTGGTGGGTTGAGGGTTTTTGGGGTTTTAACGGACTCCCTAAGCCCGGCCCTAAACCCTACACCCTACACCCTAAACCCTAAACCCTAAACCCTAAACCCTAAACCCTAAACCCCGGGGTAAGGAGGGGAGAGGTCTGCGTGGTTTCGAGCCGACTTTCACAAGCTTGTGCCAAGCTTCGTACCGGGTATATAACTGCTTTTGATTTCGGGGCCCCGGGCCCCTGGTTTAGGGTTTAGGGCTTAGGGTTTGGGGTTTGGGGTTTAGGGTTTAGGGTTTAGGGTTTAGGGTTTAGGGTTTAGGGTTTAGTTGTGCAAGAAGGGAGACCAAGGGATGCTTGCCTGGGTTTAGGGCTTGGGATCTTGGGGTTTCGGATGCGGGGTTTAGAAGTCACGTTTTGGGGGCTTTAGGGTTTAGGGGTTTAGGGGTTTAGGGGTTTAGGGTTTAGGGTTTAGGGTTTAGGGTTTAGGGTTTAGGGTTTAGGGTTTAGGCGGTTTTGGGTTTAGGGGTTCAGGGCTTTGGTCTATAACCATTCCGGGCTTAGGGTTTCGAGGTGCGCGCGGGCTTTCTTTAGGTGGCCTTGGCGATTATGTCATGTTGGCATAAGGCGCTTGGCACGCGTGTGGCGTGTGGTTGCTGGAGCTTCGATTCGTTGAGGGCTTATGAAGGGGTTTACCTGCTGGTTCATGGCACGGCATCGTGCGGAAATTCGGTCCTCATATCCCTTATGCATATATATATATATATATGTATGAATACTATGAAGAAATCGTAGGCTTCAGGTTCAGGTGGGTGTAGAATCCTTCCATGGCCCGTCGTGACCTTGTGAAACCTCCGAACCCTAAACTCTAAACCCTAATTAAACCCTGAACCCTGAACCCTAAACCCTTTTAAACCCTAAAACGCCCGACATCCTAAACCCTAAACCCCCGAAACCCTGAACCCTAAACACCCCCGTAGCCCTCGCTGTGGAAGGAGCACGGCTTCTTCAACCCTAGACCCTAAACCCTAAACCCTAAACCCCAAACCCTAAACCCTAAACCCTAAACCCTAATAAACCCTAAACCCTAAACCCTAAACCCTAAACCCTAAACCCTAAACCCTAAACCCTAACTGAGGAAGGAGCACGGCTTCAAGTTCGACGTCGTCTTCACTTCCGCGACTTTGCTTGGCCAAAGCTTCGCAGGTCATGGCTGCGAAGAGGTTGAGGGTTTAGGGTTGAGGTTTAGGGTTTAGGGTTTAGGGTTTAGGGTTTAGGGTTTAGGGTTTAGGGTTTAGGGTTTAGGGTTGAGGCTTTTCGGGTCTCAGGGTTTCAGGTGTTTTGGGGCTTAGGGTGGTACGAGTTCGGCATTTCTATGGGGGCTTAGGTATTTTCGGGGCTCGGGGTGCCTGGTGGAGTACAGGGCATGCAAGGTCGGAGTTTGGCACCTCAGTGACAGTGAGATTGGTGAAGTATTGAGGCCTTGCTGCGCCGCTCTTGCCTCTCCCCATCGTTTTGGGTTTAGGGTTTAGAGTTTAGGGTTTAGGGTTTAGGGTTTAATTAGGGTTGCTTAATGAAGGAATTCGGTAGATCCCCCGGCTCTTTTGTTCACCCTTTCAGTGATTGTACATATCTCATTCCTGCACTCCCTGCTGAGAGCCAGTATTGTAGTCCTAGAGGGAGGGGGGGGGGGGGGGGTTAGGGTTTAGGTTTAGGGTTTAGGGTTTAGGGTTTAGGGTTTAGGGTTTAGGGTTTAGGGTTTAGGGTTTAGGGTTTAGGGTTTAGGGTTTAGGGTTTTACCTTAGGTACCTAGGGAAGCTTGGGAGCCTTAGGGAGTAGTGGGGAGCATTCGGGATTCAACGCCCCTTTCTTAAGAACCTTATCACTCCCGAAACCCTAAACCCTAAACCCTGAACCCTGAACCCTAAACCCTGAACCCTGAACCCTAAACCCTAAACCCTGAACCCTAAACCCTAAACCGGGCCGTGTGAGGTTCTGAGCAGGGCCATTGAGTCCGCCAACTACATCGGCAACTTGTCTTTCTAGGGCTCTGTGGGTGCCACAGGTCCAGTTATAGCAGGGTTGGGGTTGAGGGTTTTGGGGTTTAGGGTTTTGGTGCTTGGGGCCTTAGGGTTAGGAAATACGCATCTAAGCCCTAAACCCGAAGCCGATCGGGGTTAGACGGTTATGGAATATTGGGTCGCGCACAGGGGTTCGCAAGTGCTGCGTTTTCGAGGATGTCCGGAGGGTTTAGGGGTTCAGGGTTTAGGGTTTAGGAAAGTTATGAAAGTTAGGGTTTAGGGTTTCGGCAAGTTAGGCTTAGGGCTTAGGGTTTAGGGTTCAGGGTAGAGGCGTCAGGTCTTCTGAGGGATTGAGTTCTCGTGGCTTGAACCCTATATCCCTAAGCCTAAATCCGCAACGGAAACTCGCTTCCTGAACCCGACGCACAATAAATATGACCCTTACTCCTAGAACCTAAACCCGAAACCCTGAACCCTAGAACCTTAAACCGCAAAAGCCCATTCAACAACCTCAGCCAGTTCACATACATCCTACATCTCCAGCCTTTCAAGCCTGCACAAATCAAACAACCCTCAGCCTCTCCTGTCAGCCTTCAACAGGGTTTAGGGTTTAGGGTTTAGGGGTTTAGGGGTTTAGGGTTTAGGGTTTAAGGTTTAGGGTTTAGGGTTTAGGGTTTAGGGTTTAGGGTACCGTAACAGTCGTCATCATCGCAGCAAGAGCAGCTAGGGTGGCTATAGCAATGAGCATGGCAATTTTAGCAAGTATATGAGTTGTATGTAGGAATCCTATCAACTAGAGTAGCCTTAGGGTTTAGGGTTTAGGGTTTAGGGTTTAGGGCTTGGGGTTTAGGGTTTAAGTTTAGGGTTTAGGGTTTAGGGTTTAGGGTTTAGGGTTTAGGGTTTAGGGTTTAGGGTTTAGGGTTTAGGGTCCAGTAATTCACTAAACGCCCAGAGAAAGCCTCGCAACTCGTAAGCTTCCAACTTGAGGCGAGGAATCTGGCAACTCCGATGCTCCCGTCGTGAGCCTCGGCTCTGCATGCTGGGTTCATGGTCGGGGGTGTAGGGTTTAGGGTTTAGGGTTTAGGGTTCATGGTGCAAGGGGTTTGGAGTTCAGGAGTTTGGCGTTTGGGTGCTTAGGGGGTTAGGGTTTAGGGCTCAGGGGTGAAACGTTTAGGTGTTTAGGGTTTAGGCTACGAGGGCTTCTTCAGCAATGGCATCCAAATAAATGTCAAGGCTGCACTGTCTATAGCTCTAAACCCTAAACCCTAAACCCTAAACCCTAAACCCTAAACCCTAAACCCTAAACCCTAAACCCTGTAGGGCGTGGTGACTCGTCGGTTCGGACGCTTGGTCGTAAGGGGGATGCAGCGTGTACGGTTTAGTCCGAGTTTGCCACACATTCCGAGCGACAAAGCCATATGTTAGCCCAATGGATCTCCTAAACCCTAAATCGTAAGCCCTTAACCTTAAACCCTAAACCCTAAACCCTTAACCCCCAAACCTTATACACTCGTCAGGAAGAGCTGGTGCCTCAACGCCCGCCACCCGGGTGTTCTGCAGGGCATGACGAAGCAAGAGGCCATCGGTCTGAATCTCGGACCTTCTCTAGCGAGAGGGTTCAGGGTTTAGGGTTTAGGGTTCAGGGTTTAGGGTTTTAGGTTTCGGGTTTAGGGTTCTGGTCCGTGGACCCTCGCTTCGCAGCCCAAACCCCAGACCGTAAACCCTGACGCCCAAAGCTCCAACCCTAACTCAGAAACCTCCCCGTGCCCTAAACCCTCAACCCTTAACCCTAAACCCCAAACCCTAAGCCCTAAGCCCTAATTAAACCCTAAACTCTAAACCCTGTTGTTTTCCCCTCCCGTGAGTCGCCCCTCAGCTGAATGCTACATGAGCAGCAGTCCCCCCTCCCCCCCCCAAAAGGAACCACCCTAAACCCTGAGCCCTAAACCCTAAACCCTAAACCCTAAACCCTGAACCCTAAACCACATCAACCCTTGCAGTGCTTATATTGTTCTTCAGGGAGGGGGTATTTGACGCAAGGTTCCCTAATACTCCCCCACTACTCCCTAACGGTCCCGAAGCTTCCCTAAGGTCCCCTAGGTACCTATACCCCCATGAACACCCCTCCCTCAAGAACCCCCGAATCCGAAAGAACAAGTCACCGAACTGCCTCTTTGAGATTCGGGCGGGAGAGATGACGCGATGAAGTTTTGGATTTAGGGTTTTGGGTTTCGGGGCCGAGGTATGGCAAGGAGAAGGTCAACATCTGGCGTGGCAGCTACGACGTGACTCCGGCTGGAATGGTTGCGCATGCAGGACTCTGAGCCCCTCTAGGGTTTAGGGTTCAGGGTTCAAGGTTTAGGGTTTAGGGTTTAGGGTTTAGGGTTTAGGGTTTAGGGTATACCCCTTCGGGGTTATGTTCAAAGAGGTACTTGGAAGAATGACTGGATCCAGTGTTTGGGGTCTAGGGTTTAGGGTTCAGGGCCGCCTTAGGGGCCTAGGGCACCACAGTCTTGGCTTGCTTGTGCTAAGCCTGGAGGACTCCAAGTGTACAGGTCACGCCGACTTTTCACGTGCAGGGTTTAGGGTTTAGGGTTTAGGGTTTAGGGTTTAGGGTTTAGGGTTTAGGGTTTGGGGTTTAGGGTTTAGGGTTTAGGGTTTAGGGTTTAGGGTTTAGGGTTTAGGGTTTAGGGTTTAGGGTTTGAGCTTTTGAGAGAGCCGGTAAAGAGCCCGTCAGTGCACTTGGCGCCTCATGGTTGAACCAATTCTGAGCATTTAACCCCCCCCCCCCCCCCACCCCACAAAAAAAACAACAGAAAGAAAAGTAACCCTAAGGGTCCATGTACCTTATTATTATATACTTAGACCCAAAAGTCCTTATATAGGAAGTACTTTAAGGCCCAAGTATTCCATAATTAGGTACATGGACCCTTAGGGTAAAGTAGCGAAGCAAGAGGCTTGAAAGCCTCAACTCTTAAAAAGCCGAACTAGGACCCAGAGTAGGCCCTTTTTCCCTTTCTTTCGGGTTTAGGTTGCCTAACCAAGCCCTTGTAAACCAAAAAGGTTAGCTTTTGTATGGACCGCGACCGCAGACTTGCCCACGAAGAGCAACACGCCTCTGTAATTAATGTGGCTACGCTCTCTGACCATGCACACACTCATGCAAGTTGCGGAGTGGGTTGACGACTTGGCTGCGGAACGCATGGTCGAACGCACAGAGACCCCAACAAGCCCATCGGGATCAGGGTTTAGGGTTTAGGGTTTAGGGTTTAGGGTTTCGGGTTTAGGGATGAAGCCACAAATTCCTTCATCGACCTCTGCCGCATCGTCCTCGTCAACTGGTGCAGCAAATCGGCCGCGCCAGCGGGCCAGCAACCTCGGCTGGTGATGGGCTTTCACCAAGAGACAGGGGGTTGAGCACGCCATGTACTCGAGGGTCTATAGCCGTAAACCCTAAACCCTAAACCCGAAACCCTAAACCTAAACCCTATATTACAGGCCTGGAGTTTGTAAGCCATACTGCCAGGTGGCAGCCTCAGTCTTCTTAGCGGAGTAAGTTCTCATGTGGGCATTTATTTCTCAAACCAGGGTGACCCCGTAATATACCCTACACGTAACCTCCGAAAAAAGGCAGAGCACTAACTAACCGCCACAGGGGGCGTAGAACTACGACAGCTTCTGAAACAGCAACAGTGTGTCGCGCTATTTTTTCAAGCATGTGTCGCCGTTAGGGCCTGCCCGCCCCCCCACCCCCCCCATTGTCAGAAACGCCCCGATCCATGCAAAAAGAAGCCCCCAAATGCCCCCAAATCCTTAAACCCAAAAATGTTTGCGATGTTCCCCCCTTATACTAACAGTCCTTAATAGGGAGTCTAGTACCCCCTTTTTAGAGTCCCAATTCAGGAATGTTAGCATAAGGGGGAACATCCCAACCTAAAAGAAGCCCCTAAACCATAAAATCCCTAGACGCCTAAACCTCCCCATTAAGCCCGTGAACCCCAAGGCCCTCAATCCTTACAATGGTTGGTGGTCTCTTTAAGTAGGGCTTCTGTTGTGTAGAGGGTTCTTCTTAGGGTATCTACAGGCTAGACTAAGGTATAAGGGTAACAGATTTAGGAGCCTCCGGCTCAGGCCGCCGACCCAAGAGGCCCGAAACCTCTCAACCCTCAAACCAGGGTTCGGGGGTTTGAGGCCGTGTTGTGGGAATGGGGGGGGTAGAGGCTTCAAACTGTTGGAGTGGTTAGCGTAAGGTTGCAACATAGGCTTCGGAGCCATACTCCATGAAAAAGTTGTGCGGGGACGTGTGTGGGAGGTGCCGGGTTGAATTGTAGTTTCCTGCTGTGTCCAGCGACATCTGTGCCGTGGTCCCTAAACTGTAAGCCCCAAACCCCTGAACCCAAAACCCAAAACTGGGGGGAGTGTGAGGGGGGTGGGGGGCCTACCCCCTGTGCTGAACCGCCTATGGTCGATGCGTTTACGTCGTGCGGTGGCGCGCTCCTCCATGAAAAAGTTGTGCCCCTCCCCCGCCGCGTTTTCAGGTTTTTTGGGAGGGGAGGGGGACCTCCCGCAAAACCATCCAACACGCCGCCAGGGTCGGCGGATAAAGAGACCACCGACCCTAAACCCTAAACCCTAAACCCTCAACCCTAAACCCTAAACCCTCAACCCTAAACCCTAAACCCTAAACCCTAAACCCTAAATCAGTCCCTTAACCGAAGGTGATGCCTGAGTGCGTGGGGCTGGACGACTCGCGCCATCCGGTGAACAACCCGCGGCTGGTCTGTGCAGATTGATCTTTTCTAAGCCCCACACTTCCAGGGGCCTAATAACCCAGAGGGTTTAGGGTTTAGGGTTTAGGGTTTAGGGTTTAGGGTTTAGGGTTTAGGGTTTAGGGTTTAGGGTTTAGGGTTTAGGGTTTAGGGTTGAGGTCCATTTGTAGTACTATTATGGAATTACGTACCCCAAAACCCTATTTAGTGTGGTTTTTGGGTATCTAATTTCATAGTATGAATACAAATGGACCCTCTGGACAAATGAGCCCTTAAGGGTTCTGGTCACTTAACTAATTATTGGGGCCCTGGAAGCTTCGGGAAGTTTCAGGGTTTAGGTCTTCAGGATTGAGGGTTTAGGCTTTTAGGTTTCCATTGTTAGTAGGGTTAGGGCTTAGTCACCCTTCTTAAGGGTTGAGGGTTGAGGGTTGAGGGTTAGGCCTCAAGGTTTTGTAGGATTAACGGCTTGGGGACCCCTGACCCTAGACCCATCTCGCGCTGGGCTTGTTGTGGCTGAGGTTGAGGATCAAAGCCCTAAACCTCCCGGCGCGTGCAAGGGGCCAGCCTTTAGTGCGTTTCGGGTTTTAGGGCCTGGGGTTTACCCTAAACCCTAAACCCTAAACCCTAAACCCTAAACCCTAAGCAGTTCAGGGTTTACCTTGGGTGTTCTTGGACGGGCCAGCCACATGCCGAAGTGAAAGCGGGGGTCGATCCTTCTGACCACGCGCTCGTCATGGCCCCGAAGTTGCTTTGAAAACCCTCAAGGTTGAGGGTTTAGGGTTTAGGGTTGAGGGTTGAGGGTTGAGGGTCTAGGGTTTAGGGTTTAGGGTTAGGGTTCAGGGCAATTAGTATGCCTTCAACAGTATTGACGTCCTCTACTGATGAAGTAAGGCAAGTTCCTTCAACAGGCCTCCCGCCTTGCTCAGAATTTAACTTAACTAGGCCCTCGGGAGCTCTCATAGGTTCCCCTTCAGGGTTTAGGGTGCAGGGTTTAGGGTGTAGGGTTTAGGGTTTAGGGTTTAAGGATTTCTCACAAGGGTTAACAGGGTCAACCAACCAGGCGAACCTGGATCGCAGTGAATCGGCAAGTGCTACTCACTCTCTTCAATGCCTGACAGCCATAGAATCCCAAATTAAAACCCTAAACCCTAAACCCTAAACCCGCCTTCACCCAAAAAGGGACCAAAGTGCTGAGGCAAGACCATAGAATAAGATGAGTTTGCTGTCTCATGGTCCTCTGTTGGGAGTTTCCCTCAACATTAGGGTTGAGGGTCTGGGGTTTAGGGTTTAGGGTTAAGGGTTTTGGGTTTAGGGCTTAGGGCTTAGGGTTTAGGGCGCCTAGTAACATGGTGAGTTGGGCTGATGTCGCCGCACCTTCCTTTACAAATGGCCCCACAAGGTTCGATGAGCTCCCTGAACTTCGCTCAACCCTGAATCCTAAGTTAAGGTTTAGGGTTTAGGGTTTAGGGTTGTAGGGTTGTAGGGTTGTAGGGTTGTAAGGTTGTAGGGTTGTAGAGTTGTAGGGTTGTAGGGTTGTAGGGTTGCAGGGTTGTAGAGTTGTAGGGTTGTAGGGTTGTAGGGTTGTAGGGTTGTAGGGTTGCAGGGTTGTAGGGTTGCAGGGTTGTAGGGTTTAGGGTTTAGGGTTTAGGGCTTAGATCACACTTCGGCATGACATGTGGAGCTAGATCCTCCAGGCTCTACGCTGGCATCCCCCAGTCGGAGCTGCCCCCAGGCGACACGGCTTTGCACATGCGGGGTTTAGGGGTTTAGGGGTTTTGGGGGCTGGGGGTGGGTTTAGGGTTTAGGGTTCAGTGTTTAGGGTTTAGGGTTTAGACTACGCCTACGCATAGCATATACGTACAAGGTTTCCGGACGAAGGCTCAGTCTAGGTTCCCGAAGCCCTGAACCCTGAGCTCTAGACCCAAGCAAATATCTAACGATACACCCTAAACCCTAAACCCTAGCTGCGTCAGTCTTCTTCAGCTAGGCCCCCGGAACCCCGAAACAGGTCGTAAGTGGCCCCCTCCCCGCAGATCGGGGTTTAGGGCCTCGCGCCCCTTTTAGGCCCCTGGAGGCCCTGAAGGTGTTCTGTCGGGCCATGCCAGTTTCGGTTTTAGGGTTTAGGGCCTTTTAGGCATTCTAGTGCTGAGGGGCCCTAAACCTTATAAACCCTAAACCCTAAACCCTAAAGCCTAACCCCCACTTCGATTCGACTCGCGAGGTGGTGAATCGCTTGCGCGAACGGTGGACCGCATCGTGCCCTACTGGCGGAAGTGCCTGAGTCTCAGCTCTTCACTCTTTGGTTTAGGGTTTAGGGTTTAGGGTTTGGGGTTGAGGGTTTAGGGTTTAGGGTTTTAGGAGGGGGGGGGGGGAAGGGGCCCACAGGGTTGAGGGTTTAGGGATTTAGGGTCTGGAATTTTAGGGTTTTTCGGCTTTCGGGTCGAGGTTTTGTGTTGGTTTGCAGCTGCTAGGCCTTGAAGCGCGCAATGTTGAATTCCTCTGCGCTGACCAAAGCCTTAAGCCCGGTTTAGGGTTTAGGGCTTAGGGTTCAGGGCTTAGGACCCTGAATTCTGCACAGCCACTGGACCTTGTGGAAGCCGGAAAGTTTGACCTTCGAGAGGATCTCCACATGAAAGAGGGCGCGCCACTAGGTTCCCTAATCCCTAAGCCTAAACCCTAAACCCTAAACCCTAAACCCTAAACCCTAAACCCTAAGCCCTAAACCCTAAACCCTAAACCCTAAACCCTAAACCCTAAACCCTAAACCCTAAACCCTAAACCCCAACTCCTAAATTGCAAAAGACAGGCATCGCCCCGCGGATCATGTCTGGGGAGTCCGTGCTGGTGGTGGGCCACAAGAACTCCCTCAAGGTGGGCATGGGGTTTAGGGTTTAGGGTTTAGGGTTTAGGGTTTAGGGTTTAGGGTTTAGGGTTTAGGATTTAGGGTTTAGGGTTTAGGGTTTAGGGTTTGGGGTTTGGGGTTTAGGGTTTAGGGAATGCTTGAGAGGTTTTGTTCAGTTTCTCGGGTTTTAGGGTTTAGGGTTTAGGGTTCCGAGACCCTAAACCCTAAACCCTAAACCCTAACCCCTCAACCCTAAACCCTTCATGGGTTGCCTTTGTTTTGAGCTTGGGGTCGCCCGGCCCTTCTCTGGCAGGCGCTGTTCATGTACTTGGAGGACACTTCCGAGCATGACATGTTCGACGCGACCAGCCGGAAATATTGGGGTTTGGGGTTTAGGGTTTAGGGTTTAGGGTTTGGGGTTTGGGGTTTCGGGTTTTAGGGTTCAGGGTTTAGGGTTTTTTGGGGGTTTAACGCGGGGTTTCGGGCCGTTGGGGCTCCAGGCTGAGCAGACTTCCTGGTAGTTCGTAGAGAACGAGGGAATTTTGTTGAGAGTTCTGTACGAACCGGCTAGAAGTTTGTATTCTAAAATTCGTTTACCAGCCTAAATCTTGCGGCCCGTGTACGCCGTGCAAACCGTAACAACAGCCTTATAATGCAGTATCATTCGGCCCGAAACTCAACCTAAACCCCTTGCGCGCATGCAAGGCCGCACTGTTCATCTCCCGTGCCTGAGCCCTTAAGTCTTTACCCCTAAGCCCTGAACCCCTAAACTCGAAAAAACCCTAAACCCTAAACCCTCAACCCTCAATCCAGAAACCTTCAACCCTACTGGGGGAGGGGGGGAGAGGGAAGTTCCTCGCGGTTCGGGTGTTTTTGTTGATGTGGACTTTGGGCTTTTTGGGGATCACTGGCGTGACTGTCAGAACATTGAAAGTTCATGGGACCCACAATCCCTCTGAACTCAAAAACCCTGTAAGTTCAAGTCAAAACAAAACCCTAAACCCTACGCCTAAACCCCTAAACCCCAGTTCAAGTTTCAGTGCTGCTAGCTATGGGTACCCTAAACCCTAAAACCCTAAACCCTAAACCCTAAACCCTAAACCCCAAACGGTTAGCTGAGGTGAAGCCTGTCTCCACCACAGCGCCCCTGGTGATGGAGTTCGGCAAGTGCGAGTTCAGCGGCCGGTTGATGATCCTCAAGAAGCGCCCCTTTAGGTTTTAGGGTTTAGGTTTTAGGGTTTAGGGTTTAGGGTTTAGGGTTTAGGGTTTAGGGGTTTAACCTTATATATATATATATACCCTTTAAGGGATGATACAGGGCCCTCATGCCCTCATTACCTACTAAGAACCAGCCAGTCTTCATAGGACCCAGCGAGGGTAAACGCCTTAAGGACAATGGGTTTTGGGTTTGGTGGTTTCTGGGGTTTATGGGTTTTAGGCTTACTCTTTGTCCTAGCCTCATCTGCTTCAGAATTCCGTGGCTAAGCTTTCAAGCTATGACGACGGTGCCCAGAAGATGATTGGAAGATGATTTCCTTGATGCTTCCTTGTACGAAGTCGCCCACTCCCTAAACCCTATTCCCTCAACCTTATAAACCTATTCCCTAAACCCTAAACCCTAAACCCTAAACCCTAAACCCTAATCCCCTAAACCCTGAACCCCCTCGAAGTTTCTTCAGCTCCCTGGGCTCTTAAACGGCCCAGAGAGGCACTTCTTACCCTTTTGTTAGGGTCTAGGTTCCCTTAAACCCTAAACCCTACACCCTAAACTCTAAAAAGGGTGCCCCTTTTAAGCCCCAAAAGGGGTACCCTTCTTATTCCCTGGTTACTCTTGGGTCTAGTTCTCCAGGCAGGCCCTGGAGACGTGTCATGTTGTCCCTTATTTAGGGTTTAGGGTTTAGGGTTTAGGGTTTTCAGGAATACGTTTCAGAGGGTTTTCAGGGCCATCCTAGCTCGTGTTCTGGCGCGTAGTAGCCTCACAGTCGGCTTGGGTAGGGTTTAGGGTTTGGGGTTTGGGGTTTGGGGTTTGGGGTTTAGGGTTTAGGGTTTAGGGTTTAGGGTTTAGGGTTTAGGGTTTAGGGTTTAGGGTTTAGGGTTTAGGGCTAGGGTACATGAGATCGCCGTTGACGGTGGTAAGCGCCGGAATGTTGACAAGGTTGAGGTTTCATGAACTGGGAGGACCCCCCGCAGCCCTAAAGCCCAAACCCTGCAACCCTAAACCCTTAACCCTAAACTAAACGTGAAGCTTATTTTAGGGACTTGCACGTTATGATGCGGCGAACCCAGTAGCGCCCACCCTCAGTACTCCGACTGGGGCCATTGCAATCACTCCTCCGAGTCGACCTTCGTGACGTGGGTGGGCAGTTTTTTAGGGCTTAGGGGTTTAGGGTTTAAGGTTTAGGGTTTAGGGATCCTGAAGCTCTTACTACTATTCCCTGAGGGTCCATGTACCTTATTATTTGGTACTTGGGCTTCAAAGTCACTAAAGTCCCCCAAACAGGAGGTACTTTAAGGCCCAAACATTCCCGATTTAGGTACATGAACCCCCAACAAATCAAAGGCAAAAATCCTGATATTGCCCTCGCTACCCCTGAAACCTATCATCCCTACAACCTCTCAATGGTGATTGGTCTACAGGCCCCTCTGGGATTTTTGTGTAGGGTTCCAATGGTTGATAAGGTGAAAATAGGGTCATCTTAGGGAGTCATTGGGTGTTTTGGTCAACTGCCAAATTGCCCAGACCTTGTTCAGGTACTTTGTCAAGCACACGACGGAAGAGGGGCTGGCACAGAGCCGGTGCAAAGACGGCTCCTTCCACAAGTGAGCCCGCAAAATCCGCGTGTCTGCTGTGGTGTTTAGACTTTGTACGGTGTATGTAGGGCTTGGCGCTTGAGGTTTAGGGTTCCCAAGTTTTTGTGTTCCCGTATAGAATTTCGAATCCTGGTTGTGAATCATTCCTTGAAGGGACAGTTGAAAGGCAGAGGCATGTCCTTGAAAGTTAAACGGGAAAGAGGAATGCCCCATACCTGGGGTGTACGTCCTCTTGTTCCCCAAACAGTCTACTGTTGGGGTTCTAAATTCATTTAAGGATTGCCGACATTCTGAGGACTGTTGCCGGGTTCCTGGGCTCCTTGTCTCCCTTTGTCTCCGTTTGTCTCCCTTCATGTGGGTGGCTTTGCCGGGTTGTAGTGCTCCTCGTCTCCCTTTGTCTCCCTTTGTCACCCTTTGTCTCCCGTTGTCTCCACTGTTTCTTTGACGTGCCTTTGACTGTCTGGAGTCTTCGGTGGTGTAATTGACATGTTTTGGTAGACTCCTCACTGGCTCCTTAAACCATACCAAGGTAAACCCCAAAGCAGGGGCTTGGCTTATTCACCCCCCCCCGTCCCCACCCCCACCCCCAGTTTAGAAAAGTGGCATACCTTCCATGGCGGGAGAAATCGACAAATGCGCATACCATAAACTACTATACATGTCTCATATTCTCCCTAAACCCGAGCTGACATTCTATGGATTCTACTACGGAGCGCAACACCTTAATAAGGGTTCCCACAAAGCCGAAACATCTTTGGAGCCTTCGGTTCAGTTCTGCACGCTGCGAGACCCGGTGCGTTAACGTCACACAAGCCCTCCCAAATGCGGCACCCTAACCCTAAACCCTAAACCCTAAACTGGGCACCCTAAACCCTAAACCCTAAACCCTAAACCCTAATCCCTAAACCCTAAACCCTAAACCCTAAACCCCAGAACGAGGCTTAGGGTCCTGAGCCCCAAGCTCTCCAGAGCTCTATCTTCTGGCCTTCCGACCCCTTAGCTGCAGCGCGAGATTAGGGTTTAGGGATTAGAGTTTGGGGTTTGGGGTGTAGGGTTTGGGGTTGAGGGTTTAGGGTTTAGGGTTTAGGGTTAGGGAGAGACCACCTGTCCTTTGTAGCTGAGTGGGTAACCTTTCACCTTTTGGGGTTCAGGGTTTTGGGTGTACAGGGTTGAGGGTTTAGGGTTTATAGTTTCTAGTATTCAGGGTTTAGGATTGGAAGGTTAACTTTATTTGGCCCTGGTACTCAGCGACTAGGTTTCAGCCCAATTGTGGCATGTTTCACAACACATTGCCAGTCATCGAAATGCGGGTCCCTCCTTGGGCACCCCAAAGGATCAGGGCCCGTGCCCTACTACTGGGGTACCCAAACAAGGACCCTGCTTCAGCTACATTGTTTATTCACGCCCTTTTGGGGGAGGGGTGGCACGGCAGGCAAGGGCTTCAAAGATTTGGGACCCCCAAAACTACAGATGTAGAGGGTTCAGAGAGGGTTCCAGAGGGTTTAGGGTTTAGGGTTTAGGGTTTGGGGTTTAGGGTTTAGGGTTTATGGTTTGGGGTTTAGGGTTTAGGGTTTATGGTTTTAGGGTTTAGGCTTGAACTATAGGCCCCAACGCAACTTCCCCCTGAGCGCGGGCCTCCGGGCCTTGCCGGGCTTGGGAACCAATTTAAAACAAGTTCTCGCGCGACGCTTCACGGCGCTGCCAGCATTGATTCATGAGGCGGGCAAAGGCAGCGTTTAGTAGAGAGAGAGAGAGAGAGACAGATAAATACATATACATATGGGCATTTCCCAAAATAGGGCTACCCCTTTAAGACCCCAAATAGAATGGAACTCTCAAAGGGGCCCCCCCCAAGAGGGTACCCCTATTTTCGGAAACACCCATATGGAGAGATGGAGACATGGAGCGATGGACGGAGGGACAGAGGGCGGGAGGGCGGGAACCCTAAACCCTAAACCCTAAACCCTAGAAGATTTAGATTGCCTTGGCCTCTCTACTGGTCTCTATAGGGTTCGGTAGCAGAGGCAGGCACGGAAAGAGAGACACAGAGGTTGGCGGAGGTGAAGGATGGCATACTACTGAGACGTTGAGGGTTTAAGGTTTCGGGTTTAGCATTTAGGTTTTGGGGTTTATGGGTTTAGGGGTTCAGGGTTTAGGGTCTGGACCTGATCTTTCTGGCCCAGGAACTGACTCTGAAGTTTTTCACGGCCCAGGATTGTGGATCGTTTACAGGCAAGCCTTGGACTTGTCATGCGTCGGCTCTTTGAGCCCTCAAAGACCAGGACCCAGAGTAGGGCCCTTATTCCCCTGAGCTGTTTTTAGGGTTTAGCTTGTCTCATAAGCCCCCTGAAACCCAAAAGGGTACCCCTACCCTAAACCCTAAACCCTAAACCCTATACCCTCTCTATCCCTAGGGTACTTCTTGGGTCTAGAAGAGGCACAGCGTCGCAAGCACCTTGGCGCACGCTCGGCGCTTTACACAGTGAGACCATTTGCATCTCAAGCAAGACTCGTCCAGTCTCGGTTGCATGGCAGGAGCTCATTCGCACCCTAAACCCTAAACCTTAAACCCTAAAATATACCTATTGAGACCCTAATTTCAAAAAGTAGATGCCAATGCGAAGGCTTTTTTTCGGGTTCAGGGGAAGTTTTGGTTGACGCCGCCTGTGGGGTTCGCTGCCAGCAACCTCGTACACCAGCAAGGCAGCACAAGTTTCATGCCAAAGAACTGTGCTCATGTCACTTTGTCTTAGGTATCTTGTACTATTCAGGTCATTCTCGGTAAAAGGCGCGCCGAATGTCGCTGCTGATCGACGTGTACCTTATAAGTGGCAAGCGTGCCACACTGCAAACCGACACAGAAGAGCCCCTTGATGTATTCCAGCAACGTGCACAGAGCGCGCTTTCAGTTGGCTTGAAAGGAAGGCTGTTGAATTCCGCTGGTGACGTCTTGGATGTGGCAGCAACCGTTGGGCAAGCAGGGCTTCAGAGTGGGGATGCGCTGACCTTGATGGCCAGGCCGGTTGCAACTCTGGCAAATCGCAATGGCATGTCCTTTGAGTCCGCCTTTGCTGCTATCCTGGGAGATGGATCCGTGGTGACCTGGGGTGACTATAGGACTGGAGGAAATACCACCCCCATAGTAGATCAGCTGACACATGTGCAGCATATCCAAGCTTCTACCTTTGCTTTTGCAGCAGTGCGGAAAGATGGATCTGTAGTGTCCTGGGGAAGTGCTTCTGGTCGGGGCGACCGGATTGCCGTTCCAGGTCAGCTTCAGAACGTGAAGCACATCCAAGTTTCTGGTGATGCTTTTGCAGCAATCCGGGAGGATGGGTCTGTGGTGACCTGGGGCCATGCCGGCCATGGCGGTGACAGCGGTGCCGTGCAGGAGCTGCTTCAGGACGTGCAAGAGATCCAAGCATCTAGTGGTGCTTTTGCAGCGATTCGGGAGGATGGGTCAGTTGTGACCTGGGGCCATGCTGACTTTGGCGGCGACAGCAGTGGCGTTCAAGATCGGCTGAAGTACGTGAAAGAGATCCAAGCCTCTAGTGCTGCTTTCGCAGCAATTCGGGAGGATGGATCTGTGGTGACCTGGGGCCGTGCTGACTTTGGCGGTGACAGCAGTGCCGTGCAAGACCAGCTGAAGAGCGTGCGACAGATCCAAGCTACTAGCGGCTCTGGGGATTCATCTTTTGCTGCAATCCGAGCAGATAGGTCGGTTGTGACCCTTGGTAGCCCCGTGGTACCCTTTTTCCCCGTTTTTTTTGGGTTCTGGTTCCCTTCTAAAGTAACCAACCAAAAAGAGGGTGCCCTTATTGTTATACCGGTTACTGGGCTACTAAGGACCTGGGGAAGTGCTCTCCATGGTGGCGACAGCAGTGACGTGCAAGATCAACTCAATAATGTACATCAGATCTCATCCTCCATCCAGGCCTTTGCGGTTTTTTTACTGTAACTTTAGATCTTTAGTCTTTTTGGGTTTATTGGGTTTCTTAATAAGGCAGCGAAAAGTTTAGTTTTTTTACTACCCTCCTAAGTGCAGCCAAGCAGGCTTTTGCCGCACTCCTGGGCGATGGATCTGTTGTGGCTTGGGGTAATGCTGACTGTGGCGGAGACATCAGCGCCGTACACGATGAGCTGAAGAAGGTGACACAAATCCAAGGATCTGCATATGCGTCTAGGTAGGACATTTGGATGATTTTGCGTTTCTCTCACTGGGTTGCCCATTTTTTGCTACATGGCTCAGGGGGCTTGTGTGTTAAGTGCCTTCCCCCCCCCCCCCCCCCCCCTCTGCTGCAGGCCTTTGCTGCCATACGAGAGGAAGGGTCTGTTGTGACCTGGGGCCATGCTGACTTTGGCGGCGACAGCACTGGAGTTCAAGATCGGCTGAAGAACGTGCAGCAGATCCTTGGTCGCCCCAGTGGTGCCCTTTTCCCTTTTTTTTTTTTTGGTTCTGGGTGCCCTTGTAAAGTAAGCAACCCAAAAAGGGTTCCCTTATTTTATATTGGTTACTGGGCTAGCAAGGATCCAGGCCACTACAGGTGCGTTTGCTGCCATTCGGGAGGATGGGTCTGTGGTGACCTGGGGCCATACTTGCTATGGTGGCGACAGCTGCGCCGTGCAACATCAGCTGAAGAACGTGCGACAGATCCAAGCTTCTAACGGTGCATTCGCAGCAATCCGGAAAGATGGAACTGTGGTGACATGGGGTAGGGCCTGCCACGGTGGCGACAGCCGTTCCTTGGAAGGTCAACTTCACTAAGCAGCTGCAAGCGAGACACTCAGACATGATACTGAAAGTCATTGACTAACATATAGTACTAAAATCAGACGGTTGCATACTGCAATAGTACAGTATAAGAACAAAGAACATAGTACTACAATAACTATGTAAGTATATGAAACCTAGTACTTGTAGTACTTTACTATGCTGTACTATACTATACTATACTATACTATACTATACTATACTATACTATACGCAAATAGTAACGATTGCACATTTATGGTGTCTCGGTCCGCTCGTCCTTGCCTGTGGACTATGTAGATGCATCCTGACATAGATCAGCTTGCAGTAGACAGCAGGAATATGGTAATTAAACAAGTACTATTGCGATATAGTAGGAGATCAATATAGTAATATAACAATATGGCAATACAGTAGTATAGTTATATAGTAGGATAGCGCGACAGTGGCATAGCAATATATAGCAATATGTCAATATAGAAGTATAGTAATGTAGTAATATAGTAAGAAAGTAACATCGTAATGTAGCAATATGGCAAGAAAGTAATATAGTACTGTAGTAACATCGTGATTCGGCAACATAGCACTATAGTACAAGATGACCCTAGAACTAGGTCCCTTATTGGGTTTAGGGTTTAGGGTGATCATATTTTAACAACATATTTCAGCGGGTTTAAAAGGGCCATCCTAGGACCCTAAACCCTAAACCCTAAACCCTAAACCCTAAACCCTAAACCCTAAACCCTAAACCCTAAGCCCTAAACCCTAAACCCTAAACCCTAACTAGTAGTATAGTAATTCGCTAGCATAGTTGTATAGTATAAAGATGGCCCTATAATGGTTAGGCTTGGTGTAGATCCCAAGGATGACGGATAGATTGCCACTCGTCGGGGCACGTTCGCTCGTGAGAGACCTTGGAGCGCCTGGAGACTAAAGAAGCGATTGCGCCCCTAAACCGCGTTGAGTAGGGTTTAGGGTTTGGGGTTTAGGGTTTAGGGTTTAGGGTTTAGGGTTTAAGGTTTAGGGTGAACCCTTTCGGCTTGCGACAGATGTTGGATGTGCGGAGCAGACAGTACTGAGGGAAAGCCTCCTTACGCAGTGAGGGGTCTCCTTAGTGTACTAAATATATATTCGGGACTTCTAACCTAAGGTATAGCAGTAGTCCCTAGACCCAAGTTAGTCGCCTTATATTTCTCGGCTTCTTCTCTAACCTAAGGTATACCACTAGTACCTAGACCCAAGTTACTGTAGTGGGCTTATATATCTCGGCTTCTTCTCGGGCGTCCCCAAACCCTAAACCCGCAAAAGGGGATCTTGGGTAGAGCATGTCACGCAGCATGTCCTAAGAACCGCTAGAAAATGGAAGCTTTTTGTACTTATAAGGGCAATAAAGGGTTTATTTTCATCGATTCGTTGAGGGTTCTTAGACAGTAGCAGTTTCGGGCTTTCTTGTAAGGATGTGGGGTTTGGCGGGGGAGCCCCTGGACCCTAAACTGTGGCTGTAGTTTGTAGGGGTGAGGGTGGTTCGGGGTTAGCCCTAAACCCTATACCCTAAACTCTATAAACCTCAAAGCCTTCAAAACCCTACAACCCGCAAGTCAGGAGCCTCAGGGGCCCGGCGCTCGGACTGCTGCGAGGGCTGAGGGTTTAGGGTTTAGGGTTTAGGGTTTAGGGTGCAGGGTTTAGGGTTCAGGGTTTAGGGTTCAGGGTTTAGGGTTTGGGGTTTAGGGTTTGGGGTTTAGGGTTCAGGGTTCAGGGTTTTGGGTTTAGAGTTTGGGGGGTTTAGGGTTTAGGGTTTAGGGCTTAGAGTTTGGGGTTTAGGGTTTGGGGTTTGGGGTTTAGATTTTGGGGTTTTGGGTTTGGGGTTCAGGGTTTTGGGTTTAGAGTTTGGGGGGTTTTGGGTTTGGGGTTTAGGGTTTGGGGTTTAGGGTTTAGGGTTTAGGGTTTAGGGTTTAGGGTTAGGGTTTAATTTTAGGGTTCTAACCCTAAATCCTAGACATAAACCACCTTATAGCCTCCAAGACTTCGAGCTCATCGCCTGGAATCCGACCCGGCGCCTTCCCAAGAGGCTGATAAAGAACCTCCAGCCCGAAGCCTCTAGAAAGGGTTTAGGGTTTAGGGTTTAGGGTTTAGGTTTAGGGTCCCCAAATCCTAAGCCCTAAACCCGACACCCTGCAACGAGTCCATGGGGCTCTTTGGGCATCCCACACCAATCCCAAACACTAACACACCTATGAGCTCTGAACCCTAAGGGTTTAGGACTTGGTTTACGGGCTAAGCCCTCGGCCCTAAACCCTAAACTCTAGACCCGAAGCCCTCAGCCCTGAACTCAGGGCTTAGATTGCAACTCTGTTTGGGCTCTCCCCTGCACTAAAACGCCCTAAGGATGGAAAGACGTCTACGTAGGGTCTAGGCTTTAGAGCCCTAGGAACCCTTGAGCCCTTGAACCCTTGAACCTTGAACCCGAAACCCTAAACCGACGTGAGGATCCCCCTTCAGGAGCTGATGCAGAATCCTGAGGCGTCGGGAGCCTCGGAGACCCCAAACCTTCGACAGCAAGAGCCCCGAAAATCTTGTGTCGGTTTAGGGTTGAGGGTTTAGGGTTTAGCGTTTAGGGTTTAGAGTTTTGCTACGGGTTTAGAGTAAGAAAGCCCCACAGAGTCTTAAACCCAGCTTCAACAACCCTAAGCCCTAAACCCAAACCCTGAGCCCGAAACGTGTAGGTGGGACCCTCTGTCCCTAAGCCCTGAACCTTACCTTCTGGGTGTCTTAGGGGCCTCAAAGCCCTGAGGCTAAGAGCCCCGCAGAGCCGAAAGCGAAAGGACCCATACCTCCTGTATCCTTAAAGCCCTAAACGCCCGAACTCAAGGCCCTTAAGCCCCAAAAAGTCCTGAAAGCCTAAACCCTAAACCCTAAACCCTAAACCCTAAACCCTAAACCCTAAACCCTAAACCCTAAACCCTAAACCCTAAACCCTAAACCCTAAACCCTAAACCCTAAACCCTAACCGCCAGAAATCCTTATGGCCCTAAAAACAGCGCCAGAGCCGCTGAGGCTGCAGGCGATGTTACCGCAGATTTTGCCAGAGATCGAGGCCCAGGCCGGCTAGGGTTTAGGGTATAGGGTTTAGGGCTTAGGGTTTAGGGTGTAGGGTTTAGGCTTTAGTCTTCAGGCTTTAGGCTTTAGGCTTTAGGCTCTAGGCTCTAGGCTCTAGGCTCTAGGCTCTAGGCTCTAGGCTCTAGGCTCTAGGCTCTAGGCTCTAGGCTCTAGGCTCTAGGCTCTAGGCTCTAGGCTTTAGGCTTTAGGGTTCAAGGGCTCAAGGGGTCCTAGGGTTCCTAGGGTTCCTAGGGTTGCTAGGGTTCAAGGGGGGGCCCAATAAGCCCTACACACCTTAGAGTCCCTACGAACCCCCTTGTGCTTCAAAGTCATCTCTCAGTCGGGTTTAGGGTTTAGGGTTTTGGGTTTAGGGTTTTTTGTTTAGGAGTTTCGGGGCTTGGACGTTCAGTAGGTCAGCGACGAAAGAGAAAGGGGTCGGAAAAAGTTGCTGCTAGTGGTGTTTCCTTATGGTCTCTTTAGAAGTATACCATAATATCCCGCAGAACTCTACTTTAATTGTTAAGGCCTCTATAGAATGTCTGCTGAGAGAAGAGACGCTGGATCCTCCAAACTTTTGGAACCCAAAGGCCTTCTTAAAGAGGTCGTTGGGCTATTTTAACCTCAAGGTTACATTCGAGGACCCTCCGTGCGTTCTCATTCCATTTCTGTTCGGGGTCGGGCTCTTATAAGGCCCATGAGGCCGGGCTTTACTTAAGGGGAGCCTCTACTTCTGAAACTCCTAACCCTAAACCCTAAACCCTAAACCCTAGAGTCCTAATAAGGGCACTAAGAACCCTGACAGAGCCCTAGCACAACAAAAAGCCCCAGAGCCTTAAACTCTGAAGCACTGCCCTGGACCTAAGGAGACTCGAACCCCTGCAGCCCCCGAAACCGAAGCCCTGAAGCCCCGAAGCCCTAAACCCTAAACCCTAAACCCCTAGCCCTAAAACCCTAAACCCCCAAACCCTAACCCTTAAACCTCTAGCCCTAAACCCTAAACCTAAACCCTAAATCCTAAACCCCTAAACCCTAAACCCCAAAGCCTTAAAAGCCCCCAAACCCCCAAACCCCCAAACCCCCAACCCCAAACGCCCCCAGCCGCGAGGATCCGGCAGCAGCCGCAGCCATCCGTGGGGAAGCCCAGCTCAGCGGGTTTAGGGTTTAGGGTTTAGGGTTTAGGGTTTAGGGTTTAGGGTTTATAGGGTTTATGACCTGGGGTTTCAGGTTCGGGCTTTAGGGTTTACAAGGTTTTTTCATGAGCGTTCAGGGTTTGGTATTCAGGCTTTAGGGTTCAGAGCTTTAGGGTGTAGGGCTTTGAAATTCGGCGCCGGAGGGGTTCGAGGGTTAGGAGTTTGGTTACCCTATAAACCCTAAACTTTCACCAAGTTACCCTTTGCAAGAAGCCATGACGTCCATATTGTGGTACCCTTAGCCCGTAAATTCTGAACTGACACCAGGGTTCAGGGGTTTAGGGTTTAGGGCCCCCAATCCCCCCCGACCCCATCCCTCCCCTCATTGATTTGGTATCTTACGACTTAAATCTAAGCCCTACTTGGAGGTTCATGCCACTTACTAACCAAATAGAAATTGCACCTATAACCCCATCATAACCATATTAGGGTAATGAAGGGCTGATAAGTGGGTTGTAAGTATAGTTATAACTAGTTCTTAAGTACCACGAACCTCCAAGTACACCGCCGACTCCATTTCAGGTGGGTTTTCAGGGCGTGTCGGATCAAGTCCGAGGGCTTTAGGGCCATTAGGGGTTTAGAGTTTAGAGTTTAGGGGTTTAGGGTTTAGGGTTTCGGGTTTAGGGTGTAAGGTTCAGGGTTTAGGGTTTAGGGTTCAGGGTTTAGGGTTTAGGGTTTAGGGTTTAGGGTGTAAGG